AAAAAGAAATAAAATCAAATAAAAAATAAATTATTACATCCATCCATCCATCCATATTCATCATTCATCACTCATATTATTGATGATGAATAAATTGAGTTTAGATTTAAATTGTCTCATCATCATCATTATTCATTACTGTAAAATAATCAACTTTATTCTAACCTTCCTATCTCATCTATAGATATACCAACAGTTATTTTACATTAATAACATGAAATTCATAAACATAAAATTCACGCACGCATGCGTCATTCATTAGAACATAATAAATCTTATCTTATCTTATTATTAACATAATTGATAATCTGGTAAATTTTTGTTGTTTTCATTTCACATGGATACAAAGCAAAGTGGTGATTCACACAAACACAATGTGGAGCTAAAGATACTCCGGAAAGAGTTAATTCGTTCCAAATTTTTTTAGTCGTGCTTAGAATGTGGAAGGAATAAGAAACAACAATCTCATATCATTCATTTATTCATTCATTAGGGAATTCTGTATTTTATTCATGCGCTATGTTTTTGCTTTTCAATTTGAGGTCGATTCATTTATATTGGTGGTTGTGTGACAATAACTATTCTGACTGAACCTTGGACTCTCATTCATTGAATTTATGCTGAATCATCCAGGCAGAAATGTGCATTTTTTTTTACTTCCAAATTTGAATTTCATTTTCTCTTTCTCTCTATCTCTTGCGTACAAAAGAATGGGTGTCGCACACTGTTCAATGGTTTCCCTCACCCCATAGCAGTGAATGAAAAAACCCAAACTACCAGATTCCAAGCGGACAAATTATGGTGACAAGTATTATGAAATTCATTGAATTGACTGACTGACTGACTGACTGAGCTGAACTGAACTGACCTAATGGCTACATGCTGCGTTACAAAAGAAGCGAACAAAAAAATTCGTTTTTTTCATATTTTGAAACCAGTGTTCCATCAATTGTTCTGCTCAATGTTTTTTTGATGTTTTTTCACAGTGACATCATCATCACCAATGGATGTGAACAATTGTCATTTGTATTTTGTACATTCATGAATGGCATTCATGTATGTGACATGATGACATTTGTATCAAAATCATCATTCAAAATGAATCTTTTTTTCACTCTATATCAAAACTCCTTAGCTAAAGGCCAAAGGTCATAATGTTGTCAAAATGTTTTCAATTCTTTTTCTCTACGCTTTATTTAAATTCATCAATTTATTCTGATGATGACAACAACAACAAAAACAACAACAACAATCTATACATCATTTCGTTCAAGTGGTTTTTTTGCGCGAAATCAGAATAAATGGTCGGCTATTTTTGGACACTTTTTTGTACGCATCGTCAAAGTTCACTAAATTGAAGATGAGTGGTGGATTTTGTTCATCTTCATCGAATGAATATTGACTAAAAATCCCACTCGATCGGCAATGAAAAATTGAATCCAATTGAATCCAATTGAATCTAGAATGGCTAATTTCTGTTTCAAATTTTTTTCGATTTCTCCATTTAATTTGTATGTTTTGAGAGTCTTTGCTGTGTGTGTGTGTGTGTGTTTGAAGTGATTGAGATGAAAAATTTTTCTCTTTGAAATTAGATCGGATTAAAAATCCCATCAAACAAAAATTCACTCGAAAATATTACACACACACACACACACTGTTTGGGATAATTTTTCCATACTTTCCCCAATGGAAAGAAATGGAAAATTAGAAAAACAGACTGACATCTGGTCTCTCTCTCTCTGGGGGTCGATTTGGATCAATTTCTCGAATTTAAATCAATTTCAAAAAAGAAAATGTACTAAAAATAAAATGAATGAATGATTTATAGTTATCGAAATTGATAGATACGAATACACCGCTAAATAGGTCCGATGGGTATATTTTTTTTGTTTTGTTTTGTTTTGTTTTCCCTATTTTAGATCTAGAATCCATTGAATCCAAACACACACAAACAGAATCAGAAATTAAAAGTGTGCACACAAGTATGACTAAACCAAAATTATTGTTAACCATAAAGGATTCTCTCTCACACACCCTGGATTCAATGTGTGATGATCATTCAGAGTTTTTATTCTGTAGTACCCAAAGGACCAAGTCACAATGATTCAAAACATTCAGTTTCTCCCTCTTTGTGTGAAATATTCAATAGAATGGAAAAAGGAATAAAGCAATAATCAAATCGATTGAATGGATGCAAAAAAAAATTTCTAATTAATTTTCAATTGTTCGTTGTTTGAAATCGCCAAATAATAATATGTGGAAAAAAGGGAACAATGGAAAAATGAATGTCAAAACAAATCCAAAACAATCTTTTGTTCAATTTTTTGACCTTTTACCTCTAGGTGTGTTTGGGTATCCCCTTTTTTCATCATCATAGTAGGTAGCACACACACACACACACACTGTGTACAATAATCAAAACAATAAATAGCCGTTTCATTGTCAAACATGGACGGTCGTTCGGTCGGTCGATCGGTTGGTCGATCATCATCATCATTATTGGAACGATTTCCAACATTGGTGACAATTCAAAATTTTGTTTTTCGGATCATCATTGAAACGTGTGACCTTTCGATGTAACGCGTGTGTGTTTAGACAATAGTCCAGAGTTTTTTTGGCCCACACACACATACCATGTGAAATTACTTTATTGAACAACGAGATTTTTTTTTTTGTTTCATATATAACTGACGTGCGTGAGTGTGTGTGTGTGTGTGAAATATCACCAAGCCAAACACACAGTAGTAATTACCTTGGTCTTGTGAAAAAAATACACAAACAAACTAAACTAACGAAAGAAAAAAATAGACACACGTGTCGGATATATAAATGAATGATTTGAGATTTTGATTTTCTCGTCTTGCTCGTCTTATTTAATAACATTTTGTTTTCCTGTTATTTTTTTGCCAATTCTGTTTGTTTATTTATTTTCATTTGATGTTTTTGTTTATATTCAACATCAAAACTGGACTTTTGATTCGATATAACCATTCAATCGAATATGAATGTGTTGAAGAAATCTGTGTATGCGTCAAAACAAAAAAAAATAAATAAATAAAGGATACACGTGACCTTCTCATGGCAAATTGAATCTGAAGCAAAAGACGGATTGTCCATTCGGTCAATCGGGTTCTATTCATTATCCATCGGTTGTTGATAATGATGATGAAATTTTTGACAAAGCTTGGGAAAAAAATTATTCCCGTTGATAAAAAAAAAGATTCCTATCTATTCAATTGATCTAAATTGTTTCCATTTTTCAAATTCATTTTTCGATTCATGGTCAGTTATATTAGTTGAACATAGGGTAGGGTGTCCATAAAATTATCATTATCATTATTGGTCACAAAATCAGTCAGTCAGTCAGTCAGTCAGTTAGTCAGACTGACACTAACCGAGCACTGGATTCAACCAACCGAAACTGAAATTGAACTTGGTTGCAAAAAAATCCAAATCAAAATGAACCATGCAATAAATGCAGAACCTTGTTTTTACTATTGGTTCAAAGGTCTGTCTATTCAACTATTTTTATCGTAAGAAAAAAAAATGACAAAACACTGGCACACTGTTGTGTGTGTGACCATTGGTGGTCCATAGAAAGATCATCCAGGAACGGCATGCACACACACGCATTATTTATTTGATTATCATTAGATCAGTGAATAAATGATGATAATCTCAATGATAATAATCGTGAATGTCCAGATAGATTTAGCTATATTTATCATCATTATCATAATATATCAACCAACCAACGATATATCCAGATTCACTACATTCACTATTTTTAGGGTTAGTCATTCATTCATTCATTCATTCAGTTATTTATTGCACAATATTTCATACTCATCATATATCCTTTTTCATCCAATTCAATCCAATTCAATTCAATCCAATTCCTTTCAATCTAATCTCGACGATCGATATCATAAACACGCACCACACACACACACACAGACATGGACATGGACATGAGAATGATTCATTTTCATAAATCCAAATTGAATATCTGCTGTTTGAAAAACAAGCTTTTCATTTTCTGGTCTCAAATGGTCATATTCTGGCTATGACTTGAATGGTTGGTGGGTTGGCTGGTTGGTGGTCATTGATACGAATTTGGTGTTGGTTTCGCTCTGAATCAATGCTTAAAATTGCTGATGGTGGTGATTAATAACACCAATGGTTTATAAATTTAGTTTATAAATAATAATAATAATAATAATGATAATGATAATGATGATAATTGCTCCATTCACTTTGCTTTCATTTTACCAAGTTAGTATATCATCATCATCGTCATTATTATTATTGGCTAAACTGGTGAATTGCAATCATTCAAAGAGATTTAAAGACAGAGATAATGTGGTGATAGATGTTTTGTTCTATGTATAAAATTCATATTTATTCAACATCAATAACAATAATATTCAATCGATTCTGTTTCGTGAATCAAAGACGAAGAAAAAAACTTTGTTCAAGGCTGTATTATTCTAATAAGACAATAACCATTCATTTATCGATAAACTCAACAACAAAACTCTTGATAAACACACAAGACAAAGAAATTTATCCAAAAAACAAATATCAGGATTAACGCCCAATTTTCGATCATTTATTTGAAACGATAATTATATAGGTGAAGAAAAATTGGTGTTTGAAACCAAAAAAAAAAAAAAAAAAAAACAAAAAAACAAAGAAAAATGATTCGTTCGTATTGCAAACATAATGAAAACAATTGAGGTTCAATGAATGAATGAAATAATGACTTTGCCAAATGAAATTTTCTATCAATTTTTCTGTTGAGTCATCGTATTTTTTCATGTTCATTCAGGAATTTTCTCCCTCAGCTCAGTGTGTGTGTTTGTGTACCGAGAAAAGAACTTTAATTTAACCAAAAATAATAAATAACCCGACATCTGACCATTGTGTGACATTTTCCACCACCACTACTCACACCTGGATCATATCAATTTGAGACGTTCGATTCGGAACAAATTTTGTTGGCTTTTGACTTTTATTTCAAAAATTTTCTGCCTTTTTAGTCTGACCAAGCAAAATTCTTTGGTTGTATAATTTCAGTTAGAAATCTAATTTTTCGGTTATTGTTTCGAGTAATCATTTTTCTGCTCTGGATCCAATATATTCACACGCGCACACACAAATGGATGAGAAGATAATTCGATAAGACTAGATATTAGAATCAGATAATTATGACGGCCAAAAAAACGACAGATGTGTATGTTATTCTTCATCTCTCAATCTTTTTCTAGGCCCCGAAAAATGAGGAAAATATGAAAGAATCTAGAGTATTTGATTATTGAATGAATGAAAAAAATGAATTTCACACACACACACACACACACACACACTATTGTCATTCAAATGAGTAAGAAAGAGCGAGAGTGACGAACCTATTTTTCTATGGACCGTTTTTATGGAAATTTTTTCGCCAATAAATCGTACGCGTTGTCATCGTCATTATCTTCAGATAAGATTTTTTTCAGATGCAAAATATGAATGATGATGTAAAATATGTAGAAAAAAATATGTGTAGATCAAAACTCGATAATTCTCAATTGAGAGATTCAAAACACAAAAAAAAGCTTCATTAATACGTTCTGGATAATCGAAAAATTGGAGAGTGACAGTTTGTTTTTCCTTTCAATATAAAAATCAATCACATTGATCATCAGGATGATTGAGACAAAGTCAAGTTTTCTCAAAAATTTTCTTTAAATTGCTTATTCATTATTGATCATTGATAAACAACAATAGCTTATAATGGCCAAGTATATATAACTCAATGGGCATGTTCAACAAACCATGACTGATGATCACACTCACATCAACTGAAAATGTCTTTTGAACTTTTTTCGATAACCAAAAAAAAACATACTCACAAGCATTAATTTCTAAAGTATTTTGTGTGAGTGAAAATTGAATATCGCCATTACCACCACCACCACCACATTACTACTGTCAAACAATACAATACATTTCATTTGAATAGTCGAAAAAACATATTCAAATTCAAAAATGGATTGTAATTAATTTTAATTAAATCCTCGCTATGAATACAATAATATAATCATCCAACACACACACACACTGATGACAGGATGATGATGATGACAAAAAAAACTACCTATGACCAATTATTTCATATATGACATGACTATCATGATGATGACATTGTGGACAGGACAATTTTTTTTACCATCATCATTATCACGATAATAACAATGATAACAATGATGATGATGGTCATGCCACACATGAAGATGACGACAATGATAATGATCATGATCACACAAATGATGATGACCTTGTAGCAAATGGTGGGTGTTTATAAATTTTTCGTTACGATCGAATCAATCTTTGATTTTTGATAATTGGATATTTGATTTTTTTGTTACATTGACTTGAATCGGAAATCAATGATAATGATAACAATATTGTTGTTGATCATGATGATGATGATGATGATAATGTCATCATCATCCTCACAAACAATAGACGGTGACATTTGACCTTCAATGTTTATCATAGTTATTGTCTTTATTATGTCATCATTGGTATTTCCTTTGAATGAAATTTTTTTTTCTGCTGATGATTTCAAGAACGTATCATCATCATCATCATCAACCATATGGCCATCGAGAATACAATTATTGGTTTTGTTTTGTTTTTTTTTCCTCGAAAATGAAAAGTCATCATTCAATTCAGTAGAAAAAAATAAAAATAAAGAATTCTCTTGAAACCATCTTCAATCGATCGATGAGAATGATAACGATGATGACATGATGTGATTCGTTTCGGTTCGTTTATTTTTGTTGTTCACGTTTTGAGATTCGTTGATCGATTGATTTTTATCAGGTGAAAGTTAAATTTTTTCATGTTTTCTATCTCTCACATATTCATATTCAAAGAAAAACAAAAAGATTTTTGGGGTAATTTTCCAATGCCAATGATTGATACAAAATGATGTGTATCTTTTGTTTTCGTTTCATCCATTCATTTTGTTCGATCAACCATTTGATTTGAATTGTTTTTTATTTTACTTTTGTTTTTCAATGAAAATGTCTTCATTGTGGAAATTCTGTAATTGTTTATTGTTGTCAAATTTAGTTTCTTTAAAGAACTTTGTTTGTTAATTTAAATTTTCTTACATTGTCTTGTTGCGTGACTATAGGAAAAAAATTTATGCCAATCAGACAGTTATGGCCATCTATTGGAAAACGGTGAAACTTTTCGGCCAAAATTGAATGAATTTGTCGATCATCAAAAATAAATAAAACAAGACATTGATTTAGATCTAGATCTCAATGGTGATTGCAATTAATCTGGTTAGATTTAGATGTTTTTTTCTTTCAACCACAAGCATCACACACACGCACAGTAGTCTCATGAACAAACAAATATGAATAAATCACTGCAACCGTAGACGTACAAATGACATTAAAGGGAAAAAACGGGCGTACGCCATCACCATATACTTCTGGAATTCATCTGATTTATATTTTCTCTCTCTCTCTCTCTCTCTCTCTTCCTGAACATCATTATCATCATCAATGAATTCATCATTTATCTTGTCATCTGTTTTGGTTGTTCGTTTTTTTCGAGTTACACCCGATATTTGGAATTTGCAATTATACAATTATAATATACCTGAAAATGATTTTTTTCCTACTCAATTTCTTGCTTGTTTTTTTTCGTTTTGGTCAATAATCAACAATATACAAAAGATTGTGATTTTAGAGTTTTTTTTCGTCCATGTTGAGATCGCTATGATATTTAGAGAAAAAATTCAAATTCAAAGTATTAATTAAATAAATAAAGTAAAAAAATCAAATTTATTCAATCCTTTGACATTTATGATGAATCGTTCAGATTAACTGTTTTTTATTTATTCACATTCTCATTGATCATCCCATCATCATCATCATGATCATCATTATTTTCAAATACAAGATTTAGGTGTCAATTTTCATTTGTGAAACACGAATAATCGGGATAAAACTGATAACCAAAACCTGAATAATCCAATAATCGTCATTAGCTTTACAGAATCAAAAAAAAAAAATAGATATAAATAAATCTTACGCGTTTCGAATCGATTATAATTACAGGCACTGGTGGAGAGGAGGGAAAATATTCACATCAAGAATGATTTCAAAGGGAGAAAAAAATAATTTTCATTCTCACAAGAGGGAAAAAACACACACAAACAACACCGGAAGATAATATACAGTGATTACCGTGGATACCCGAATTATCATCATCATGATCATGATATTCGGTTCCAAATCCGATCTATTTCACAATTTCAATCCCTTTTTTCGATTATTATGACATGTTATATATGCTGAATTATTTTCCACGCTTTAATATTTAATAATGATGATGATTATAGAAAAAAACCACCACGACGATAATGGTGGTGGGTACCATGACCAGCCAATGAAATGTTCAAAATACAACGACCAATCATTATCATTATCACAATCATCACCGGCGTCGTCGTCGTCGTCGTTATTTGGCGTGAGAGAATTTTCTTTAATTTTTCCATATCTTTTCCTTTTCATTTTTTGACGTTTGTTTCGAAATGGCTGAAGATGATGATGAGAGTATGATTAATTATTACGGACCAGTTTTTTTCTTCGATTCATTCAATTTTCTATTCGATATGTCATCCTCATCGGCATCATTCATAGATGATTATTTGATTAATCATTCTTCAAAAAAAAAGATTCTTATTGCATTTTCTTTGCTCTTTGGTTACCAAAAATTTTCATGATGATCATTTTTGGCTTTGATTTGATCTGATAACGACGACGACAACAACAACAACTACAACAGTGTATAATATAACAGTACGAACCAGGAAGATGGCTAATTTTTTTTTCGTTCGATATTAATTTAATATTATCACATATGATTAATCATGAAAATATGATGGTGCAAAAGATTGAAAGATATTTCGTCTAAGAAAAACGAAAAATGCTCATTTATTTGGCTGACTTTAGAAGTGCGTGCGTGTGTGTATGTGTGTGTGTGTGTGTGTGTCCATCCATATATTGGTTTTATATATATATCGATATTTAATATCTATTCAATGCATATAAAACCATTTTTTCCATTCATTCATTCGTCATGGCGCCATTTGATATTCTTAATCAAATGATGATGATGATGATAATCAAATCTGGTTGAAATCATCAGAACATGGAAAACAATTTCAACAAATCCTACAGGTTGATTGAAGGTTGTGAATGAGGATAATGACTGAAAAAAGATCATAAATCATTTGACTATATCTGAACAAATGATAATCAAAATCAAAAATCAATGAATCGATTCAATGAAATGTTTTTATTTTTCTCAATAAATTTTTTTCTTTATTTCAACGTTTCAAACCACCATAATGATGATGATAATAATAATAATGTTGACCATTCAATGATCATCATGTTATTAAATGATAATTTTTGATTCGAAAACAAAAAATTCATTGAATTTGTTCAAAGAAATCGATTGCTCGAAACAACAGAATTGAAATTCAAAAATAAAAAAAAAATTTTTGCTAATAAATAATTTTATTCGGGCTGGCTAGTTGGTTGAACACCAGGAATGAATAAAAATTTCAATTTTAAATTTTTTCTTTTCTTTCAAATAAAAATGGCGCCCACATTCATTCATTAACATTCAACATTCAACTTGTTGTTGTTTGTCATTAGCATCACCCAAAAAATCCTTGCAACCTTAACAGTAATTGATCATTATGAAAGGCTGAAGAATGATGTTGAAGAAAGAGAAAAAAAATTGTTTGGGCGCCTAAAATTCATCAATCAATCATCCATTTTTATTCATTCAAAAAGAAGGCCAAAGGTCAAAAAATATCCCGATTGTTCCAATGAAATGACCTTAATGACCAAAGGTCGCTTTGCTTAAACAATAATTAAGCATTGATTTGTAACCAGACAAAAAACGACAACAATTCAATGCAATTCGTTGGTTGCAAAATATATTTTTCTTCTATCACTTGCTTGCAATACGGCCAATTTTTTCACTGATAACTAATGCGCTGTTACCAACCGTGAAAAAGATATACATAGAGTTAAGAGTAAAAGAATAAGAATGACATGAATCCCCAATACGAACATTAACACCGTCGTATAACGTGAAACGAAAAGGAAAAATTGAACTGAGAAAAAAAGCTAAAACACTTCTCGACAACGGTTCAGAAGTAAATATTGATGCTAATGTTTATGTGTATGTGTAGGTGTGCATGGTTGCAGTAAGAATCCTGGGAATTTCTGTCATCTTGGTGTTGTTTCTTTCTTTCTTTTTTTTCTCATTTACTCCATTCACGACAAACAAATCTTACTTAACCCGTTTTTTCTTCTTTTGCTCTTATTATTATTAAATGTCTGTGTGTTTGTTTTGAGAATACTTTTGAGAACAACAGCATATTATGTTCACTATGCAATAAATTAAACAATAACATGTGAAATGAGAAAAAGAAAGAAATTCATTCAAAATTAGGCCCTAGACCATAGGGGAATGAAAATCATGAGTTTCAAACGTTGCCAAACATATAAAATGTGATGATGTTCCGTTTTTGCAGTATACTAAATAATGAAATAGAAAAAAATTGAAATGATCCAAATAGCGTAACCAGGGTAAAAAATGCAACACACACACACACACACACAAACCAAAACCAAATCAGTCAGTCAGACAACAACAACACAAAAACGAACAACATAACCAAGTTTTTTGGTTGAAAGACAACAAAATCATCATCATCATCACTTCTAGGTCCCAAATGTACCATTTATTATTATATAAACTTGGGTTACAGTTTATTTTTTCTCATTTTCTCACTTTCATTCATTCACTCACTCATCCATTCTCTATGGCATGGTGTGATGATGACGATGATGATGATGATGATTGAAAAATAGAACCAAAAGCATAAAGCTTATTCTTTCAATTCTTTCAGTGTTTTTGTTGAAAGAATAGAAAAGCATAGGAAATGAAGCAAACGAGGAAAATTGTTATTATTTATGATCTTAATTCTATTATTTCTATTATATATTATGTTTCGAATAATAATAATCATCATCATAATAGCGGTAATAATAGTTTGAAAGAAAAATAACCAAACTCTATATCAATTGGCAAAGACACACACAGACTCGGTGAATCGATCATTCATCCGATTTTCCATTTTTTCTCCAATGGTTTTATTCAAACACATTATCGTTTGCTGTTTTTATTTTTTATTTTTTGTTCATTCATTACAGAATACAGTGTTTTTTTGTCGACTGGCTCGTGTGTGCGTGTGATATCGTTTGTTGTCAACAACGACAACAATACAATACAATACAATTACCAAGATAATAATCGCGATTGCAATGAATTTGGAACCAAAAATAAAAATAAAAAATAAAAAAAATAAATAATGCAATTGTGTATTCATTCTCATTGGATCTGTTTTTTTTTTTTTTTGCTTTTACAGTGTTGACTTTTGTTTGCTTATTATTCGATAACGATTATTTATAATCATAATAATTTACATATTTTTATCATAAATTTTCTGATAACAGAAAATTTCCCTCAAAACATTGAATGAACGAATTGCATTGATAATGGTAATGATGATGGTTGAAAAATTTTCATTAAAAAACGAAAATTTTATTTTTTAAAAACATTTTTAACATTAGCAATTCAATATCTATTTTAACAAGGATATGGTATGATAATAATGATGATGATGATCATCATCATCATCATGATTTTCGATCGATCAATCCAGATCTAGATTATCACTGTTTATTTATTTATTTTGACTTTTCTTTCATTCATTCATTCATTGGATCATCATCGATGAATGAATGATATCCGTGTCCGTGTACGCCCTTATTTTTTTTACAATACACGTTTTCATATTGTCAGTTTTTATTATTATAAACAGGACCGATATATAACGATAAGATATTATTGTTGTTATAAACAAGATTTACTTGTTACCCAAAAAAATGATTTAAATATCACGATTTACGAATAAACTTCTTCATAAGATCATAGATTTTGCCATCAATAATCACGATTCTGAAATAGAAAAGACGAAAGAGAGAGAATCACGAATCAGTTTTTTTTTTGTTTTGACCATTTCAACCATCTCTGTTTAGTCGGTCTGTGTGTGTGTGTGTGTGTGTAGTTCACACCATCTCGAAGAAGAAAAAAATACCGCTGCTGTAACCATACCATATGAACATTGTGGAAAATGAAACCCTCTCTGGTTGGCTGAATTGTTTTTTCCCCATTTTGGGTGAAAATTGATGAAAATCATTACAAATTATCACCCCGAATAAAAATGTCCATTATCATCATGAGTGATAATTATTTCTGCGATCAAAGTAATGCCATCTATCGGTGCGCAATACGTATCGCAAATGAATTTTATTGCAAATCATACACAAACTATATGATATAAAGTATACACGTATAAAACAAAAAAGTGTTGTTCAAAAGGAGATTATTTGTTTCTGAGAAATTTTTTTTCAAAAATAAGGAAATTGCATGCATTTTGGAGTGAAGGAAAAGTTGAATGACCAAAAATGATTATGATTATCGATTTTTGATCGAATCGAAAAAAACTCAAATCGATCAATCATAATTTCGGTTACTAAATAGACTAATAATGATTTGAAAGTAATCAAATTTCAATCAAGTTTTCCTTGCGAAAATAAAATTTACAACATTATCCTCTGATGATGACTGATGATCAATTGATGGCTATTGGCCTTGTTTCGCTCTCTTTGAGTATTTAAAAATGATTTCAATTTATTTAGCTACCTGAATATCCTGCTGCTGCTGATACCCTTCAATTAACACTTAATTTTCTTTTTCATTCGAACAAAAGTATTAATTAACGTTCCAACAACTTGATAAAAAATGTGGATAACTCAGTAAATTTCTAGCATGCCATATGCCAGATGGTCAACGGCTTCTGAACTTTCAAAAAATTTCCAAATGGTGTCAATTTGACTGTTCCGTTCGTTCTGTTTTCATTTCGACAGAGAAAAAACAAAGTAATTGCTTACCTTAAAAATGACACCAGTTTTAAAATGAATGATTTAAAAATGCCGCTCTTACCACACCGATTTATATTAGCTTTGGTTTGAAGGTGCCAATCTGCCAACAACATTTTTTCTTAAGGGTATCATCAGTGGAATTGAATGACCACCGCCATTGCTGACGACAGAAGGTCAACGGTAAACGATTAGAGTGGCCAGATTTTTTTCGCTCAAATGTATGGACCTAGTTCTGTTCTGTGTGAATCTTCTATTTATTTCATTTTTTTGTTGTGGTAAAATGTGCGAACCAAACAAGATCGACCAACAAACAACAATAACAAAAAAAGTAAATTGTCACTTTTGAATGAATGAAACATACACACACACACACACACACACACTAATATATCAATGATCAGAACAACAACAACAACAATGAGAAAAATGTTGACATTTAGACAAAGTTGAACTTATCGGCAGCCCGCACACATCGAAAAGAGAGAGAGAGAGAAAAGTTTCCGGAGTATCAGAAAAAAAACGAAATTCCATACTAATAACTAACCATCAATAAAAACGAACCAGATAAGATAATTTGAAATTCGATAATAATTATTTTTTTTTATTTTCAAAATTCTGTTCATCATCATTCGAAACGGTCGATCGATCAAAATTGGAAAAAAAATTTCATTTTCATTTTTTTGCATTGATTGATTCGTTTATTGATTGAATTTCATATTCTCATTTTTTTCTCATTCGTAATCAAAAAAAAAACGATTCATTAAAGTTTGCATTATTGATTATTCTACTTTTTCTTCCATCACAGCAAATATGTTCTATATTTATCAATTTTTCATTCAATTGTAAATAATTTCCAATCTTGATTGTTATGTTGAAAATTGAAAAATGAAAATTTTCAATTCAATAATGGCTTAATGAATGAATAAACAATCGATCGATCAAATGATCGATCCATCTCTATATGTCTGTCGATTTTAACAATAGTAATACAATTGTGTTCTTAGGAAAAATCCGGTGATAATGATGATGATCATCATCCGATGACCCGATAATAATTGAATAAATTTCAAGTCAATTGATTTTATTTTTTCTACATCCTCAAAGGACCAACACACAAAAAAGTTCTTTTGTTTGTGCAAATCTATTGATATAAAAAAATCATAATTTAAATTTCAATCTTATCGCTCTTTCTCTCTCATTCAATTATCTTTGTCACGAAATGAAAGCCTAGTGATAAACAAATTGATTGAAATCATTAAAAAAAATGTAAATAAATCCTCAGTTGACTGTAGAAACGAAGAATGACTGTAATAAGTTTTCACATTTTTCGTCACTAGATGGCAAAATATTGTTAAATTCATTGAATTGATACATGTTCTGCCATCTCGTGGTTAAAATGTAAACATAGCCAAAGTCAATACAGTCATTCCAGGTTTCTACAGTCAATTAATGGTTGATAAATTGATTGATTTTATTTTTATTTTTATTGACTAAAAAATTTCATCAATCGTATAACCAAATAGTTCAAAATCTAGATAATATTTAGCATATAATGCCATTATTGTTTTTGGTTTTAATCGTCGAATATATTGTTGGGTTTCTTGATAGGATCGTTTATCACAATCACGGTCGTTTACGATTGGAATGTCAACATTTTTATTATCACTTATATCGCTATGGTTAGTGAATAATTGTCGAGCATTTTGAAAATCCTGGTAAAATGTCTCATAATGGCCGACCAGATCATAACGAACATAGCATGGTTCACATTGTGTCCAAATTGGTGCCCATAATGGATCATATTGATATGGATCAATAGGTAGCAATAATTCTTCACACCATTCTTCAAATGTCCAAACATGCATTGTTTCATTATTGATGATCAGCGGACGACCATCCGGTAAAAATTCCGCTAATTCAAATCGCTTTTTGAATGCATCGACTAATCGAACGAAAGGATGTCGAACAAACATGATACGAATATATGATGTGTTATTGACTAGTTGCGCTTGTTGAATCATTGACATTAATTGTGGGTGATCATATTGATAAGCGAACGATTTTTGAAACCATTCAGGTTCGAATACCCGTGGCAAAAAACAGGCCATTATTTTCGTACTGTTATCGATCATCAATGGACAAAGACGTGTTGTTTTGCATGATTCGGGTGTTGTCGAATGCCAAGGGCTCAACAAATGGTTATTCAGTCGATATTGTTTGCAAACTTGTTGCATTCTTTCAAGACTAGATCCTAATTGAGCTTGACAATCACGATCGTTGCTGCCTGAAGTAGAATTCAATAATTTAATAATATTTTTTTCGGTTAAATTTTTCAATGTTAGCGATACAGCAGCCAATTCAAATGGATTTGCCACCAATTCTTGCCGATCGTTTGGTGGTGGACACCAAGATCCAATATTCCACCATGGTGATGATGATGATGATGATGATGATGCTGTTGATTATCATTAGGACCAGAATATTTTTCAGAATTTTTACGAACACCATCTTCAATCACATAACGACGATTTTCAGCAATACGAAAAACACTATGTACAGGATGACCATTGGATCCAGAATATCGATAACGATAATGATTTGGATCACAACGAAATGATTTATACAATGAACGTATGGCTATGGAAGCAATAATTATGGCAACAATCAATATTATTATTGTACGGAAATTTAATCCAAATTTTAATCTCTGATCATATGATGAATTTTGTTGTTGCCGTTGTTCGGATTGTTGATGTTGTTGTTGTTGTTGTTGTTGTTGAATAATAAAAACTTGAGGCAATTGTGAATCATGATAATTATGATGAGGATGTAATTGTGATGAAATTATTTGAAAATCTGATCGATTATTGCCATTACTAATCATTGCTGAATGATTATTAGATCCATGATTTAATGTTGACAATTCCACTGAATCATCAGTTTGTCGTCGGTTGTTGACTGAATTCATGATGATGATGACATTGATTATGTTTTTTTTCTGTATATATGTATTTCAATTGGAAAACAAAACAATGAATGCAATCATGATGATGAATGGGATGGATGAGATAAAACCTCTCGATCGCTTCAAATTAAAACAAAACAATCATTTAACTTGTGAACACAAATGGTATAATCTACTACATTGTCAAATCAAACAAACATACATTTGTTGATAACTTGATTGATTGAATGATTTATTTATTTATATATCAAAATACACACACACACACACACACACACTGAGTTGAATTTATATGAATGTTTTAACAAACCAAGCAACAAAAAAATCAATTTCCCCTTCCATCATCATCGAAACTTTGGATGCAAAGAAGAAAATGATGAAGAAAAAATGATAAATCATGAAATAGAGGAAGTGACAACGACAGAATGAGAGAAAAAATGTTTGAAAATTTCTATAAACAAAATACGACCGAGAAATAATCATAAAAAAAATCAGCTACCTAAATATAAATAAACAGGATCATCAAAAACCTCTATTGCCATTGTCAATGGCCATTGAAATTTTCAATAAAAAAAATGAATCGATTTCAATTTCAAAAAAAAAGAAATCAAACAAATGGCAATGTGAAAGGATTGATGTAAAAATGGAAAATGCATAAACAAACACACGGATACAGTTGTTACTTTGTTGTCGCTTTTGGTTTTTCATTTTCTTATTTTCACAATCATTATTTATATTTATCGTTATTGTTGTTATACGAATGAGCAACAACAACAACAACAACAACAACAACAACAACAAGCTTGAAACTAGAATGGCAGCTTTTTATTTCTTCCACTTCTTCTTCGTGTTGTTCACAACATTAAAGTTTTTCTTCTATTTTATCCTAGAAATATCTTGATGATGATGATGATAGAAATGGTGGTGGTGGTGACGATGATGGTGGATCACAAGGTTGAATAATTTATTTCATTCCAATCGTTACAATCATGCATGTATTTTGAAAAATGAGTAAATAAAGTCCATAAAAATAAAGTTCAAGTCACGATTGATTTGATTAATGATTAAAAAACAAAAAGGAAAATGGCCACCATTTTATCGTTCTGAAATAGTTTGACAAACACACACACATACACACTAAGAATGAAATATTCAATATCTGGTTTGTCAACTTATTACTTGTCTATTCATCAATCCATTCGATTGAATTTCTTTTTTATTAATTCAAAAAATTCATTCATTCATTCATTTATTTTATTTATATTTATATAATTTAAACTACAGAAAAAGTCAAAGGCGCGCAACTCACGCCAGTTGTATCATATAAATATACCGCGCTTGCTTATAATAAACGATCACATTGTATGATTCTACACCGTGTACAAACTCTATGACTGATTGGCGATAGAAACCAGTTTTTCTCATGCAGCTGCATACTGACAAAACCATGCTTTATTTGTTTTTTGTTTCATCGAGTTCAAAATTAAAGTTATAATTTGTAAGTCATAATATTATTTTGAATTGAATTTCAATACAATTTCTATAATTTTTTTTTTTTCCTTAATCATCTAGGTATCATCAATTGTTTCATCATTCAACTGTTCTACTTTCAATGATCCATTCATATTCTGATTTCGAATTCAGTATCAAATAAAATTGCAGAGATAATAGAATAGAATTGTTACATTATTCATTCATTCATCATTTGACAAAGTTGTGGTCCATTTGATCATATAAACTATACACAAAAATGTAAAGATATCAATTTCAGTCATTGTAAATAATTCAATAATTGTTGATATCTCTTTATATAATAATATATATATGATATATTATTATTATTATTCAGTTAGATAAATATAGATCAATACAATACAAGTTTTAATTTAAAATAAATAAAATAAAATAAATGGGTACCGTTTTTCATGTCTGATTTTGTCGATCGAAATTTCTGATTCATTTATGATATGATGGTGGTAAAATTATTTCGGATAATATTTTGTTATCTAAAGTTTGTTGATCATCATTAACTAGATTGTTGTCATCAACCGGTGCTGAGGCACTAGGTCCTGGTTGTTGTTCGATAGCTTCATCTGCAATTTCTATCTGATTATTTGATTTCTGCTCATCCAAATGTTTTAATGAAACAACCAAATTATCCAAATCATTACGATTATGATAATGTCGATAATATTGTCGTCTGGCAACCACAACAATTACAATAATCATCATGGCGATGAAAATTGTGACGAAAAATATTCCTGTTCCAACTAATTATAATCATAATGAATTAATTATTAATGGACACAACAACACTTGACAAACCTTTAGATCCCTTATGATTGTGTATTACAGGTTGATCGGTTGATCCAGTAATCGGTTGATTAGTAGGCGATGTTGTAGTTTCATGGGTTTCTTCAGCAATACAATTGAAACCATAGCTAAGATCATCGATAGCTAATCGAGAATGTTCATCTTCATGTATCCAACCACGTAAAACAAATTGAAATGGTTTCATTGTCAAATTATGTTCATGATTATTATTCCAATGATCGATCCAATCATTATCATTGGGATCTGGATATGCAACAACCGATTTATACCATCTTTGTTGATCCAAAACATCAGATGCCGTTATTGACCATAAAATTTTTGGTTGATGTGATGTTGATTCGATTTCATTTTCATTATTGCAATCATCATCATCATCTTGATAACGAACAAAAACTTCAAGACTTAAATCTCTTGGATCAATGACGCGGCCAATATCAGTATGCCAATAATAATAGAAACCTAGGCGACAAGGATTTGTCATATTCAACACTTTGGACGACAGGAATGGTGTATAAATTGATGCATATCGAAATCGGTGATGCGTGTTTTGATCATCAGTTCGACCTGGTACTAGTAAAGCATATGGACTTAATCGAGAACGTCTTGTATTATCAATCAATGGTTCATAACCAGGATTCAATTGATTATCTTCAAATTCATGACCGGTTACTATTCGCCAATGTGCATGAACTTCACTGACGTGATCAATGTCCAGCTGACATTGTGACCAACTTTCAAATGAACATCGACGCCATAACTGAGAACCACATCGTTCAATAGATTCATCTTCACCATCTTCACCACAATCATTGATACCATCACATAGTGAATCCGGTCGAATACAAATACGTGTTTGATTGCACATGATTAATCTCAATGAACAATTTTGTCCATGACTAAGTGGTTTATCCATTGCACATTCGATAAATTTAATATTATCAACAGCAATAGCTGATTGCGTGGATTGATCGAAAACATCAAATTCAACGATAAATGGCGTCCAATGAAGGCCAATATGACCATATTGACGTGTCCATGAACCATGAGTTGTACCGATTGTATTTGCAATCATATAGAAAGTGTTCATATTATTAATTTCATCACCAAAACGAACTTTGAGAAAGAATGCTTTTGATGCTTGAGCGTAATAATCAAATTCAATCAGGCAATCGGCCGATGAATGTTTGAAATATAAAGACATTTTTCGAGCATTTAGTGCCATCTCTGCGTGACCAGATTGACTATTTCGACCACCAATCCAACGACGCATCATCATAAAATGACCTTTTTTATTGGCATTAGCATCGAATTTTGGGGCATATGATGGTGACCATGATTGCATTTCTTGCACCGATGTATGAAACCAATAATCTCGGTCAATGGATCCTGTATCTTTCCAGCCACAATCATCTTTTTCGAAATTACATTCATCACCACAACCAATTTCATCCCAACCAGATGGACAATCTTTACGGAAATCACATTGCTGTTCTGGCTTGATTATTTTTCCATTCAAACATTTGATACTTTCATTTTGACATCGACCTTGGTGGAAACTGATATCATCCAAAGCGATCATTGTTTTTGGATCCTTGATAACAACACCTTCGATTAGAATTTGTATTTCATCAATATCTGTTTCTAACATATCATGACCAATTGTAAAATAATATGGTGTCCATCGATCATGTTGAACTTCTAAAATTCGGCCGAGAATTCTACTGCCTGAAGAATGTCCCCTTTGGAATCGTAACAATAAAATTTCAACACTTGCTTTTGCATCATTGATCCATGCCCATATTTCTAGGCAATAAATTCGACCACGTTCAATACGTTGAGCTCCGGAAATAATTTCAGCATATTTTTTACCTGTATAAATGGAATCTGGTGACCAACGCCATGCGGATAACATTAGAAAACCATTTCCTTCAATTTGGCTATGATCAAGACGTGGTCCGGGAAAATCTGGATGAAAATTGGATGTCCATGTTGCATACAAACGAAATGCTTGACCACTTTTTGTATAATAATCCGAATAGCTACAATAATCATCATGATTAAAATCACAATCAATTGGACGTTCACATTGACTATTCATGACGATTAAATCATCCAAAACCAAGTATGACTTATTGCTTGTTGGTTTTATTATTTCAAATACAATTCGATGTTCAAAATCAAGTTGTTTATCAAATTCAACTACAGTCCACCATGGTTTCTCTCTATGAAAAATAAAGGAAAAACATTAAATTCATTCATTTGTAATAGTTACGAATCAACTTACGAATTTGTTGCCCATAATAAATGATCATTATGACGATCATGATAATCATCAAAATATTCACCAGCTGACCAATAAACACTGAGCGATACGTTTCCCACCAATTTATAAGCAAATCTTACACATGATCGTTGTGAGACATCTGCTGGAACATTTTCGATTGACAATCGATCAATATAATCAATTTGCAGTTTTTTAGTTTTCTTATTCATAAAACCAAGATAATAGCCATCCGTAGTTGAAAATGTTGTATGATCATTATGTGGAATTGTCAATGGAAATAATCCAGTTTGATGATTGGCATCAAATGTTGGAAAATTAAAGAGATAAGCGTCCATTTCATCAAGTGGTTGAATCTGTTCTAATTGTAAGCCATCAAGCCCATTTGTGAATGTATACGTGTAATCATTCAAATGTTTACAACGACCTGGTCGTATTTGAATATCATCAATTGCAAATGAATTGAATACTCCTTTCGATGATGATGGAATATCTTCCGATAGACTAAAATTCATACGTATCAAGATTTTCTCATCATTTGCTGATCGAAAATGGAAAAAAGAATCAAACAAATAGTTTTCATCACATATTCAGACATACCAGATGCTTGAACAAAAGGAATAGTTATACGATGTAAACGCCATGATTGGGTACGAAGAAAACGTAATCTGGCAAACGGTTGGATCCATTTTTTACCCAAAATATTCACATTACCATGACTATAGGCGAAATCCAAACGACCAACATCGTATACTGAACTACCATCAGCATAATACCAGAATGTTAAACAACGTTCTTTATCATAAATCATTGGTGGAGCAACCAGATATTGAGTTGTTTCATTCAATTGATTTGTATCATTAATGAACAAAATATAATGTCCAGCTTCATGTTTTAATGTATGATCTAATGGTGGTGCATATTGATCGTGTCCTTTTCATTGTAAATCAAACGTTCAATTAGATGAAAAACTGAAAATTAAAAATGACTCATAACTTACGTTGTAAATAAGATGTGATTGTCCAGATTTTTGGATAAAATGTCCAATGACATTCATGTTCAAAATTACAATCTGCGATACGTTCACTTTGAGGCATTTCAGTAGTTGGTGATGGTGCCGGTGATGAATCGGAATTATTCCAACAATGTCCTTGTGTAATAGTAATGTCATCGATACCTAGATCACTAGCAATTTTGTCATTATATTTAGCAACAATTTCAAATGAATAAACCATTGGTAATTTACGAATTTCTCGTGTAAATGGCATCCAAACAATTGGATCATGTGTTTGAGTATAGATATTAAATTCTTGTGCAATGGCACCATTCTTATGTAGATCTAATACACGTAATGTCATTGCTGTTGTTATATTCTGATCTACAGAATTAGCAAAATAATACATTCGAAAGCAGACAATCGGTTCATTTTTTGGACGATTCATAATTGGACCACGTAACACGGATTCTGCATGTGCAGATGATGATTGTCGATACATATCCAACGGTAATGCAAGATAATTTCCATCGGGCCGTCCAAGTGTATGATCAACCCAACAACCAGAATGACGTACGATTTCATTCCGAGGCTGTACACGAATCCAATAAATTAATCGATTATCCGTTGCATCTTGATTCTGGTCGATTCCATTATACCAACCACACATATCGGTTTCGAAATTACAATTACCATGAAGTGAATCACAAAAATGTGGCACAAATCGTACATCATCAATCAATATCATTGTATCTTGATTCGATGATTGTGTAATTTGCATTATGATCGATGCTTTTTTTGTCGCTGTAAAACTAACACTCATTGATGTCCATTTATTCTGTTGATTAATCGATATAATTTCATCGAGACTAACATTTTTCAATGTTGATCGATAATTGTTTTCTTGTATTTGTAATGATAATTGCACATTTCTTGCAGTTGTTTGTTGTTGAATATTGAATAAATTCAATTCGGAAAGAGTTTGAAAATAATAATACAGGTTAATACAAAGATCATATCGTCGTAGTGGATTCATTACGGCAGTATCATCTTCAGGAAAAAACGATAACGATTCGATTGATTGAATCAACGATGAAATCATCGTATCGGAATCACCAGATAATGGTAGCGCAAGATAATGTCCTGCAGTTGAACCGGTTGTATGATCTCTAGTTTGACAATTATGGCAACGTTTTAAATGGCCAGCCAATGGTTTCCACGCACATTCATTGATTTCAAAGTCACAAAATTCTTTCGAAGGCAATGAGCATTTTCCCTGCATAATACCAATATCATCAATACCGGCAATTGAATTTCCATTATTCAACGATTCGATAATCAAATCAAAATCTTTATCTGATGGTGTTTGTAATTCGATCCATGCTGGTTGCCAATTGCGTGTTTGTGGTCTTGTTCGTCGCCAAAGAGTTTGTGTTTGAGTTACATTATTATGATTATCAAATTGCATCATTTTCACATTTAATGTAGCTGAACTTATACCAAAAAAATAATACCAAAATGTAAAACAATAATAATCATTTTTTTTGCCATTGATCGGCGATGCTGTTTTCAATATTGATTGTCTAGGTCGATTTCCATCACCATTATCCATCATTATTTTGATCGAATCCGAGAGCCATGTACCATGTTTTCGTGGCAATGGCCGTAAATGACTCGTATGATCTTCACCGGGTTCAATATCTGGACGATTTGTACGAAACCAATTCAATTGCTGTTGTTGATGGTAATCATTGATTATCTTCCAACCACAAAAATCGGTTTCAAAATCACAATTCAATTTTTTAATCGATTCAGGTTTATCATCATGATTGGATTTTGTACAATTGAGAAAACGTATATCATCGACGGCAATAAATTCTTTATGATTTCGTTTGTCACCTGGCATTCTAAATGAACTAATTGCGAAAAATAAATTAAAACTAGGAAATCTTTCACCAAAATCAGTTGTATAATAATTCCATTCATTTCGTTCAGTGATTAAGAAAGAACATAGAAAATGGTCATTGACATATAATGAAATAGTTGTTTCTAGACTTGTCATTAATCGAAATGAAAATTTACAATTTCCATCTGTACGACCATTGATTGTTGGACTTTTCAATGTTGTTTCTTGTTCTATAGAACAGGAAAAAAAACAATAATAAAATTATCAGAATCTGTTTCATGCTAGACAACTTACTATTAGAATCAAAAATGAAACCGTAATAACCACCCATTGGATTCTGCTGGCCATCACGTGTTGGCAATGGATCTGGTGCATTTGATGCTGGATCATATACATCCCAATGGCTAACATGACCATTAGTTTCAACTTGACTTTCCCAACGACAAGATGATTGAAGATTAAAAGTACAATCACCACATTGAAGTTCATCCAAGCCATCCCGACATTGTGGAATGAAATCACATATTTCACTTGCCGGTACACAGATAAGCTTTTGTTTTTCATTTTCACACCAAATACCATCACAAAAATGATCCGGTGCAATTGTTGTTAAATTGACGGGTTCTTCCGTTAGAATGTGACAATCATTAGAAAAACTTATATCATCAATGGCAATATAAGGTTTCAAGTATTCGCCTTTGTAACGTCTTAATTCGGCTTCAATAAGAATTTTATATGTTCCATTCCATCTATTATCTTGATTACCGAACACATAATAAAATCGATCAAAATAGTGTCTATCTTCTCTCAATGTAGCCAATAAATGTGTTTGACCCGTTTCTAGATCCCATAGTTTTAGAAACAATGTCGAATTTTTGCTATTTTTCAATACAAACATTCGTACAATACACGATGCTGTTGCTGGAATTAGCATTGGCGGACCATCAATTATTGACATTTTTGCTTCATTATTCTCTTTATCGGTATCAGTGAACAGAACACGACCACCAGATGCATATCGCAAAGTGTGATCATAACCAGGTCCTTGACGAAAACTGTTGAATGAATTGACATCTTCTATACGCCAATTGATACGATAATAATCACCCCAACGTCCAAAATCATTATCATCTTGGAAGTCTGTCATACGATTGGTGAAATCACATTGTCGACCATTTTCATCCGATCCATCGCCACAATCATCTTCAAAATCACAAACATTTGCTTCATCAATACAAACATTGTTTGCACAAAGAAATTTATTACAAGTTTCATCCTCTTTCATTGGTTTCGGGGGATCACAATATTCCATTTTAAAGCTAAGAACAGAATGATAAGATTCACTATATGTACTAGTTGCCACATATGGACCTAATGGTGAAGCTCGAAGTATTAATTGAAATGAATGTGGTATACGTCCAAGCCAATAATCAATCCGATGCCATTCATTCATTTCAAATGCTGTTGATAGTTGCATTCCACTATCCCATAATAACAATTCGTTTCCATCTTGGATTTTCAATTTTAAAGCAAATCGATCATTGCTATCTTTCCATTTACTATGAAATAGATAAAAAAATGAATAACGACAGCCGCCATATGATTGATGAATTATTGGTGATATTAGTCTAGCGTTATCTTGATATGGTGTTGTTATTGAACCATAAGCTGTTAATGAATTTTCCAGTTGATCATGTGGTCCACATTCGGATTCTTTGGTTAATCGCCATCGAAACGAATGAACTGTGGCTTCATTTTCATAGCCACAAATATAACCTGGTCTTATATCACATGAACCACATTCTAATTCATCTAAACCATCTGGACAATCTTTATGATAGTTACAAACTTTTTCAACCGATATGACTTGAGATGGATCACAATAGAATTTATGATCATGGAATCCATGTATTGGTGTTGTTGATATTGATGATAAAGTGGTTGTTGTCGTCGTTGTTGTGGAATAAGGCAATGGATTATCAGGATTATTACAGCTACTTTTTTTAAAAGAAAAATTATCAATCGCTACGTAACTATCTTGCCGTCCATAATCATTATTCGTAACGGTAGCAATCTATTTGTGAGGCGAAAGAAAAAAGAAAAAAAAATTGATTAAATTTTCAAATATAAATAGACAAACATGATGATTACAATAAAAAAATAAATATCTTTCGATGCTGCATTCAATCGTCGTGTTTGTATTTCAATTTTACGCCATTCTTTGGTTGAAAAGTTTGTTCCGAATAATTTTTTTGCTGAACTCGAGAATGATTCAGCTTGATAGATTTCTAAATATGAATCCGAACATGGTTTAACAATGGCCATTGATAGACAGAAATTGATATTTTCACTGCCACCAGTATCATAACGTTCAGTAAGAATGATACCACGTTCAACATTATGATGTGATACGAACAATAGATAATTACCATAAATTGAATCGTATGTAAAATCATGATCAATATATGGACCATGTAAACGTGGACAATAAACATGCCATTCACTATCAATATAATTGGTCATAAAATAAAATGCTAATTCTGTAAGATTTTCTCTATTTGCTAATTGAATTTTCCAATCATCAGTGAATTCATCATTGGGTTTTGATCTTAATATTTCCAATGAACAAGCATCATCATCTTCAAAATCACAATCACCGCCTGTACTAGTACATTCACCAGGATAGATAGAAATGTCATCGATAAATACGCCCAATTCTTCATTATCAGAGACTGCTAAAATTTCGATTTTCATTTGCAGACGAAAACCCATTGCATCACCAGGATTAGAAATTGTTGCTTGATGTGTCATCCAACCAACTTGGCCATTCAGATTGTTTGCACCAATTATTTCCCATGAATCACCGAATATTAATTCATTATCTACATCAATAGCTAAATAACTTAAGCTAACATTCCGATTTCCCATCAAATAATAAGAGAATCGTAAACAGGAATAATCATCAAATGCTTTTTTCGTTGTCACCGTACTAAATGTACCAATTTCTTTGCTTTTAGCTTCTTTGAAAATTCCATAGAAATGTCCATCTTTAGTATCGGTTGTATGATCGTTGATACCAATATCGGCACCTTTCCAAATTCTCCATGATGATGATGGTTTAAACATGGATGATATATCAGATTCAAAATCACATTCCAATTCTTGTGTTACACATTCACCAATGGTAACTTTAATATCATCAATTGCAAGAATACCTTGATGAATCAGACCATTTATTTCAAAATGATCGCTATTTTCATCGATTGTTAAATCGATATATGCTTCATGCCATTTAATTGTAATTTCATCATATGATCGAAATAAGATTTTTGATTTTTGATCACTCGATTCGGATGATGATGATAATACTTTCAAATTGACCATTGAATGATCTTCACCATAAAGAAAATATGCAAAACGAAAACAAACTTTAGTAGATTCGTCAACCATATGAGGATTTTCTGCTTTCATTGATCCAGAAACTGGTGATCTATTTTTCGATCGAATATAAGCAAAATGTCCTTCACCATCATATCGAGTATGATCTATAAATGGTACATAATCAACAGCACCGGAGTCGGCTACTTGAAATGATGATGATGTCCAGTTGCCTTTGTTGCCTTTTTCAAAATTTTCACAAATTGATTCAAATGGATTGTCGGTTTTTCTGGCTTTCGATTCTCGTCGATTTGATGATGATGATGACGATGATGGAAATAAACCGATCAAAATTATAGAAAAAAAGATTAAAATGGATTTCATTTTGAAAAATGAATCCATTTTCACTTTGAAAATTCAAACAGTTTTATTTATTTTCAAACGAAACAAAAACAATAATTCAAAATTTTAACGAAACAAATTAATGCTTGCAAAAATTAACTGCAAAGAAAACTCCCATTTGAATCGGATTTTTATACATTTTTTTCTGATCAAAAAAATGTGATCAATTTTTCAATTGTCTGATTGATCAATTTGATAACGGGTAAAAATGAAATGAAATTTCATTGTCAATTAGATCGATCAAACAAACAAACAAAACGCAAACGCCGCCCATCAAATGTGACCAGAAAATATCCAAATCCATATTGATTTTAACACCCATATTCAATCAATAAATTAATAAAATCATTATCACTAATCAATTCTTAATCGTACTTTTCATTATCATTGAATTCATTCTTCCATTATCCATCGGATTTACAATCATCAAATCGTGTAAAAAAACCGAAAAAATATTACAAACACACGAACATTATAAAGACTTGAAAACATATTTGAACAAAAAAAATTCAGCCAATCCGAATACGATAGTTTTCTGCAGCATCAATAATATAAACAACAACGAAGCACCTCCTGTTTGAAGGTGTTAACCTACCATTTGATTCGTTGTTTTGTTTCTCGTCACACACACATATACACAACGAACATGGTCAGTTTTTTGTTTGTGTGTGTGTATCTCATTTTTTCAAAAACAAGAAACAAGATCAGATCAGATCAGATATGATTGTCCAATTGAATCCAATAGTTTCAGTATCTGCATGGATATTGTATTTACAAATCGTCATCAACTTCTTTTTCATTCAATCTCTATTCAGTGAATTCATTTGACGTTCGTTCATTGCTTCATTGTTCAATTAATCAATCAATAATCAATAATAAATAAATGAAAAATGGTTAATCCAAATAATTATCAATCATTTTCGATTGATTCTTTATTGAATGACAATAATAATCGCCATACTACTCATTATCATCATTCTGGATCAAATGATCGCAAAATTGATCCAGATCATGAAACATCCACAACAATGATGATGATGATCAAATCGGCAGCAACGACAATGCCGCCACATCATTATCCATCCCGTTTTATGTATTTTGCTCAGCAACAACCACAACAGCCATCATCCAATGCACAATCAATATCGGAAATGATAATTTCCAATGATTATGATAAATTAAAAACAATGACAACAACAAATCTATCGAATGATCAACAACATCGAATGTATCAATTGTTTCTAAATTATCACCATCATTTAATACGCCTACAACATCAACATCAACATCAGCAGCAGCAGCATCAGCAACAAAAATTTCCAATCTCAAATCATGTCATCATGCCATTTTTATCTGAAAACACGAAAAAATTCCCGAATGAATCCAGTCAGAATTTTCTCCAATCAGAATGGATGAATTTCTTTCAAACTACAGCAAACAATAGGAAAAATACTCAATCAGATGATGAATTGGAATTAGAATCAAAATCAGATTTTCATTTGAAAAATGGTGACAGTAATAATAAAATTATTGTCGATGAAGTGGCAATCGATGTAACACGTACAACGCCATCACCATCATTATCTGAATCTGATACGACTGATCATCTTTTGGCTAATAATCTGCCAACAACAGCATTCAATCAGCAGCCAAACATTACGACAACAGTGAACACGAATAATCAAAAATCCAATTCACAATCGAATGATATGAAACGACGACGAACATGTTTTAGTTCAGAACAATTGCTTGAATTGGAAAAAGAATTTCATTCGAAAAAATATCTTTCATTACGTGAACGTGCACATTTAGCCGATGTTTTAGATTTGACTGAATCACAGATAAAAATATGGTTTCAAAATCGTCGTGCTAAATGGAAACGGGTGAAAGGTCAAATGGCAACGGAAATTAATCAAGCACTGCAGGCACCGGCAGCGTTATTCAATCTGGGACATCCACATTCAACGTCGTTATCATCATCCTCATCATCAGCATCCTCCTCGTCATCGGCATCATCCATATCATCATCAAACAATTCGAATTCATCATTATCATCGTCAACAACATTATTGAATCGTGAACATTCCGGTGGTGAAACAACAACAAACCAACAAACAACAATTGGACATAAAATTCATGTACCAATACCGGTACATGTTGATCGTATATTACTTCGTGGTCAACAACAGCAATATGAAAAACGGTCAGTATTGAAACGGTCAACATTTTGAATATTTATAGAATAGAACAAAACTCAGACATTTACATTTACATTTAATTTAATGAGTTTTTCGATACAATTTTTCATTCCTAAATCTTCGTTGATGATGATGAAAATTAGATTTACCAAAGAGAAAAAACTAATTATCGAAAATCAAAATTATTTATTCAAAATCACAAGTTATTGATAATCAATCAATGATAAATTTTGGTTTTTTACACTTACCATCATCATCATCATCATCATCATTATTATTATTAGATGAGATGTGAAAAAAATTACACTAATTATCATCAATATAATTTATAATATCGTTTTTATTCACGATGATCATGATGATGATGATAAGATTAGGTGTGAAAAAACACTGACCAATAATTATATGAGCACACTGCATACATTAAAAAATAATGTTATGATGTGGTAGTGAAGAAAAGGTGATAATTGATGGCGTCTTGTATTTCATGATGACCATGTTATATTTATGATGATGTTGATCATTTTAGTAATAACATCACCGTGGATCTTTTTGTTCTTGTTTTCATCATAATTATCACATGGTTATTTGAAAAAATTATGCTCAAAGTCTATATGATGAAAGAGCAAAACAATGATTTTGCTCCACTCATAGTTCTCTTGTTTTATGTTTTTCTTTGTTCACGTTATATTTGAATGGTGGTTTTTATTATTATTTAGTTTTAGTCTGTATGAAATGTTTTTCATCTATCTTGATGATGATAATGATAATGATAATTGACAATATAATGATGAGCATGTCATTATATTTTAAGTTTTTTTGGTTCAAAAAATTATTCTACGATTCTGAAAATTCAAAAAATGAAACAATTTAGTCGAGAGAAAGAAATTGATATTTAAAACATTAAAATATTTAGTCGGCGATGTTTTTTGTTTTTGTTTTTGTTTTTGTTTTTGGTTCACCATAATTTAGATGAAAAAACCGAATCGAATAGACACGTTTTCGATGATGATGATGATCATGGCAATCCATCGTGATTATCGATATAATTATCATCATCAAGGTATAATCTAATTTGTTATTATACATTCAGCCGATATTATGATTATGATGATGATGATGGTGTGATGATTGGTTGTTGCAAAATCAAAATTATTATTATATCGATGGGCAGGAAAAAATGAACATAGAAAATTGCAATTTGAATTAGGAAAATTTTGACGCATAAAAAATCTAAATCTAATCCTAAAGGAATGAATCAAATGGAAAAAAATTGTAATCAAACTGATTGACCTGTTGAATGGTTTTTTGTTTGGTTTTGATTGATTTTTTTTAATTTGATTATCCAGTTCAATCAATCAATCAATGATGATGATCGGTATCCAAAACAATACATCGATGTTATGATGATGAAATAGAATAATTTCTATCCGGATGAATTTTTCCTATTCCATTTCGTGATAATCATTGATTGAATTGAATCGATTTTTTTTTTGGTGGAAATCTGTAAACATCGATAAATCAAATTGAAATGCAACACAAGGACACACACGCTATGCACGTTTTGTAATGATAAATTTGAATAATCACGTATTGAAAAAATAATTGATTTTGTTTTGTTTTGTCTTCGAATCAATCGGAAAATTTCTCAATTTATCAATAAATGATTTGATTGGTAATTAATTGATCAATTCAATTTTCAAATTCCGTTCATGGTTAATCGATCAATCAATTCCATTGCATTTTGCGATATCCTGGATAGATTTTTGCTTTTATTATTGGAAAACTTTTCCAAGGCTTTAGGTTAATGTTTTAAAATCATAGAATGATGATGATGATTTGATATAATAATAATTTGAAGATGTTTTTTTTTGGAAAAATATAAACAATCATTTAGTCATAATAAGAATGATGATAAAGAAATGAAAATGTTGTTAATGGAGCTTACATAATGATAATTATTATAAACAACAACCATCAATTATTGTTACAAAAAACGAAAGACTTGAACATTATTTTCACCCAAAACAAAACAAACAATTCGGCGATAACGAAAAACATGTTAGCAATTCATTCATTCAAAGCAAGGTATCGAAAACAAAATATGATTATGAGACTTGAGTAACAAATCATCATAGTGCACTGTTTTATTATTGTTTCCATCCAATTGAACCTTTGATAGTGAATCAAAGTGTGAGTGAATGATCACCATGCTCAAACGTACAATTTTTTGGCTGTTTTGTTCAGTGTTTTTAAATTGTGAAATTTTATTTTCGATCAATAATCTGGATAATAACAATTTTCACAGTTTTACACATACAGATTCTCCACAGAATTGTTTGTTGTTGCTGTAGTTAGTGTTGATTATAATGATGATGATGAGTGTAACATCATCATCATCATCAAAATGGACATTTTTATAATGATCATGATAATCATCATCCAATGTCGGTTCTGTGTGTCGGATGTTTTCGTAATAATAATAATAAAAATAATGATGATAAATACAAAGCAAATAACACAGACATGGACAAATTATGATGATGATGATATATTTACAAACACAACCTCGAGGTAAACAAATTGTTAAGAAAAGAAAAAATGAGTGAAAAAACGCCCATAGTCTTGGTAAATCATCATCATCGACGATTGATGATCAAAAATAAAAAAATGAAGGATCAATTTTCACTTTGTTCGGTTATCAACGTTAAGGAATGAGAGAAAGATAGAAAAACATTAAACAAATCCGACGACGGTAGACAACCTAGAAAAAACAACAACATAGTTTATAATTAGAGTTTTAAATTTGTTTGGTTCTTGTTGGTGTTTTTTTTCGACAAAAAAAACTTTGTACCCACAACAAACATTCGATTCGTTTGTTTCATCATTGCCATCACCACTACCAAAAAAAAAAAATGGGCGAAAATAGCATTATGGTCAAAAGATTAATGATCATCATGATGATGATGGTCTTGTTGTCGATGATGATTTGCGAATGTGTGTTGATTATTTAAACCAAAAAAAGTACTGTAATTTTACCATTTTCAAATTGTCTTTGTCGGTAGCCGAATTTTTTTTATTTTTTTCGTTTTATTATTCGATACATTTTCACTGTCGGAACGCTAACGATCTGTAGCATAGAAATAAAAAAATTTGTTCAACCTGAAACAAACTTGTTTATCATCATCATTATCATTCGCTAATCATTTGGGTGTTTGGTCAAAGGTCGAGGTGTGAGGTTCATAGATCATCATCATCATTATCAAGCCATATCTTATTACCTTTGAACTTTTTTTTGATACTTTCTGAAATATAATAATGATAAACAACAACAAGTGTAATGCAATTTTTCCAATCATTTTTTTTTTTTTGATTTGATTTTATTTTTGTTTTGCACAACAGAATGCAACAAAATGGAATTCGTATAACGAGCAAATCACAAGAGCCAAATATATCTCAGATTATGCAACCATCACCATACGAACAAACATTGGAGCCAGATTCGGTTGGTGTCATAATGAATATGTCGTCGTCAAATGATAGGTCAAATTCAAATTCGAATAGTAAAAAAACAACCACAACAACTACATTATCATTGTCACCGAATTCAGCATTTCAAACACCATCAACCATTCAACAACAACAATCATCAAAACGATTATCACGTCGATCTGGTGCTGGTATTGGTTGTTTACATCGAACATCATTATTGCCATTATCATTACAACAATTAACACATTCATTTGCATTAGCACATCATCGATCTACATCACAAATGATACAATTCAAATGTTGATTATTGAAAATTAAAAATAAATGAACATAACTATCATACTATTATAACCAAGAGAAAAAACAAACGGAAATTTTATAAAAATTTTTCCTGAAATCAAACAAATGAAAAAAATTTCCTGAGTACAATTCAACAATCAACAATTATTATTAAAATTAATAATAACACTTTATATGGTTAATACGCCTATTTCATGTAAATTTCATTTAGCTTTCGAAAATGTCGGTAATCCTTAATTATGGTTTACACATGACAATGTTTTCTGTCCACCCTATGCTTGTTTGGAGGTGTGTGAGTGACTGAGTGAGTGAGTGAGTGTTTTCAAAACCGACAAACAAGCACACACACACAAAACAGTTTCGATGACACGATCGAACAAAACATTAAACAAAAACACGGCTGTCAATCACAAATGTGTCGATAAAAAAATGAGAAAGAGAGAAATATAGCCTGTTATTATTAATATAAAGTGGGAAAAAATTCTTTACTTTTCACTTCATCATTCATAATGATTATGATGATGATGATAATCATCGTCGTTGCTGTTGTTGTTGGATACACAAGGATCGTTGACTATCAGGGCAATTAGGCGGTGTTGAAAACAACAACAATAATGATGATGACGATGACGAAAAAAAGTCAAACGTCGGCTGTTTTCTGTTTTTTGATTATTATATTTCTCGTTGCTTCAACAAAAAACGATTAACAAACATATATAAACGATAAACGATAAACGATGGGCGTGAAATGAAAATTTGTATCGAAAAAATAAAGAAAGAATTTGTTATCGAATTAGCGAGCCTGTCATCATCACATCATCATCACATTCACTACATCAATGGTGACGATGAGAAATCTGGTCAAAATTTTTGCTCTCTCTCTCCGTTTTGTGGTTGTCGATTGATTTTGCTATTTTTCTGGGATTTCGGTATTCGGCCATGTTATTGCGTGTGACAAATCTCCCCATTGACACATCATATGGTCATAATTTGGTTCAATTCCAAAAAAGAAACCGTATGACTTGATTTGATTTCCGTTGACAGCTGCCAAGTTTTTATGTTTTTTAAATCGGTTGGCTTTTCCATCCACAATTGCAAAGTAAGTCGGGTGAAAGAATCGGATTTGGCCAATTTTTTGATAAGAACTGACTGACTTTTTTATTCATTTTGGACAAATATGATAATTCTTCTTTGGTCTTTATTTTCTGGCCGCAGGTTGAGTGTACACGCCTTTTTGCTGTTTTTTAATTTCGTGGTGAACATAACGATAATCCGATTGAAAATCGATGGAAACCAGATTACGAGAAAAATGACAGATTTATGAATCTTTCTCTTTCTAACAGAAATTTGAAATAAATAAAAAAGAACCACAGATTATTAGCAGTGGTTCAGTGGAAAAAATCTTCATAATCGTGGATCATTAGACAGAAAAAACTGATTAATTGCTCATCATCATCATCATAAAATGTCTGATAAATTTAGATATTCACTCTATCGTATACAACAACATTTAATTGATCAGGTGAGAATTATTGAACAAAAAAAATGTTGATTGTATATTTATGATGATGATGTTTAATGGGGCGTGTGTGTGTGTGTGTGTGTGTGTGTGTGTGTATCTCTGAAAATAGGTGCAATGATTATTACTTGTAATGATAACTTGGATGATAGCCATCATAATAATTATCAGATGAAACAACAAAACGAAATGAATTGTAGAAATAAAATAAAAATGCAACACCTTGCAACCTTTTTTTTCTTAAAGTGAGAATGAGAAAAATTATCACCCTAAACAGTCAAAAGGTGTTAAAATGATTATTGTTTAGAAGAAAAAATGAACGTAGATTATCGATGGATAATAATGATGATGATAATGATGATAATGATGGCGTAAAAAAGCGTGCAACAGTCAGAAAAAAGGCGGAGTTGTCGAAAGTGTGTGTGTTGAATTTAGATTTGTAATGAACTAATGATCCATTGAATGAATGAAAAAGATTTTCTATGTGGCCAATTGAATTTTTCATATTTTTTTGCTTACTTGCTCGAATTTACTTTTACAAATGTTTTACACATCTAGAAAATTATTATTAGAGATTCGGCACATCATCATCATCAATCGCTGATTTTTATTATCATCAAATGATGATGTAGGATATATATACTAGATAGATAGCGATAATTATATGTTATATATACGTATATGATGTGTGTGTGTTCCAGAAAATTTGTCAGTGGAACAAAACATTACATTTCATTTCATGTGTTATGTTCGTGTAATGGTTCATGATGATGGTTTGATTTGCATTTTAAATTAGTTTTTGTTTAACACACACAGATACACATTTATTATTCTGGATTCAGATGATGATGAACCGACAAATCAAGATAATCAACAACAAAATGAAAATTGGTTTGGTTTGGCTTTGAAAAGTCAACGCTTTTCATCAGCATTATTATTATGATGCATCAATGAATGCACAACGACAACGTGTCTCACAATCAGATACATTTAGATTCGAAAGGTGATTTTATTCCATTTTTTCTGGTCAATTATATAACACTATGATAGAGGCGGCGGCTGCTATGATGATGGCAATGATAAAAGGCTAAACTAATTTTTATTTTCGCTTAATTCACCCTCAGTTCAAAGGGCGTTTTTGTTGTTGTTGTCGTCGTTGTTTGGGTGATGATAATTATCGTGATTATCACGATGATGATGCTTTTTTATATATCGTATATAAAAGCTTAAAGGTGAAATGGTCAAAAACATTTAGTAGTTTTTACATTTTTATGGTTAATTACCTGAGAAATTCATAGCTAACATTTAAAACCTTGAAATTAATAAACGCCAGTGATTGATGTACATTTTTTGCTGATTATCTATAAATATCCATCTTGATTATGATTATTTGATTGAGAAAATACATTGGAAACAAAACACAATTAAGAAAAAGAAAAGAGAAATGTACATTGGAAAATTGAAATGATAATCTACCGGATTGCCATTTTTTTGAATGCAACAGTTTTGCGTTTTAAATCACATGATGATGATGATGAAAAAGTGGAGAAAAATCGATTATTATTTCTATTTTATCGATAACAATCACGATTATGACAATGTTGATGAGTAAAGGGGCTTTTCCAAAAAAAAATCATCATAATCACTCATTGATACCATTTACATATTCATTTGTAATCACCGACACAATAGACAATCAATGGCTTACGTGACATTTATTTATTTTATTTCATTCGAAAAAATTATATTATAATCAACCGGTAACGTCAGATTATTAATATTATTAATGTGATTGGAATGGATTGTCTGGATTTAATTTAATTTAATAAATATATAAATGATGATTTTTCCACCGGTTCATAATCAACTTTATTTTTGAACGCTTCATACAATTAAATTGACACCAAAAATGTACAAATATTTGCTGATCATAATGTTACAGCTGACCGTTGATAATTGTTTGTCCAGAGTTGCTTGTTTAAAAATTGATGGTAAGAATTTTTCTTTTTAAAAAATTGCGAAAATTTTACATTACAATCTTTTTTTCTACATTTTAGCTACAAATATAAATCGAGCAATGGACTTAGCAATACTTGCAGCAATTGAAATGAATCGACAACAATTCATCGATTTAAGTATCGAAGTTGATGTGAATAATTTTCATCACGAACAATGTATTTATCAATGTACTGCATATACAACGAGCAGTAGTCACAATGGACAACATTGTCAACGAATTCAATTTCCATTGACAATTGAATTAGATCAATATAATGGTCTTGATAATGTAACAATTTCATTGGGACATTTACGTTTAATTGGCTGCATTCAAAATCAATCATCATGATTGATCATTCAATAATGTTTGTATGAAAAACAAAAATTTTTTAAAGCAAATGAAAAAATGAATTTTCGCATTTTGAATTTTCATCGAAAAAAGTACAAAACGATTATTTCACAGATTTCACAGACACACAGAACAAATACGTTAAGTTATAATTAAGTAAAAACGGTTTGAAGAAAAATGGTGTGAATTTTTGCTGTTAAACATTAAACACTAGACATTTTAACACCCAATAATTATAACAACAACAAAAAGGTGATGATAAAACATTTGAATTTCAAGCCTATCATCATCATCATCATTTTTCTATTTCTACCTGATACATATATTCATCTTTTGGCTAGCTTGGTTGTCATAATCATCTGCAAACGATTAAACGATCATCATCATCAACAGGTCATCTGTAGTTGTAATGTGTCTAGCCACACACACTATAGCTAGTCGTGTGTCGATGGTTCGTTTTGTTTTGTTGTTGAGTGTACACACAAAAGAAAGAAGCTAAAGTGTCGATTTTTTTCAAAATTAAATAAATTGATGATGATGACTGACACAAATGAAAAAGAGAGATTCACTTTTTTCTGGTTCTGGTGTTTTTGATTTGTCCAATTGAATAAATTCCAGTAGTCATGGTGGTGGTGGTGTTGGACATCTGGATTCTTATTAAATCATATTGATGATGATAATTGATTGATTATCATAAGTTACGAATTGAATAATGAGATATAATTGATCGAAATTATATTATATATATTGAAATTAAAATCATTATTATGAATACATACATTGTATTCAAATTCAAATGTTTTCAATCATATGGTTTACAAATTTTTATTTATATACGCCATTTTGTGCATCATTTATCAATAAACTGTGTGTTAATCAACAATTGATTGGGAAAAAAAGCTCAAAACAAAAAAAAAAGAAAAGAGAAAAAAAACAGATTATTAGAATCAAATGAATACAAAGAAATTCAGTTTCAAAATCCTAATAGACAATGATGATGACTAATTTTCTAAATAAATTATTCACTTTGATTAATATTGATGCTTGTTTGTTGTTTCTAAATATTGATTGGCAAAACAAAACAAAAAATAACAAAACAAAGTGGAAAACTTTTGTTCATTTCTTGTCAGTTTTATATAGACTTTCTCTTTTTTTTCTATTTAATGAGTTGTTTACTGTCCTGTTTTTTTTATGTACATATCATGTAAATCGATTGGGGATCTGATTTATCGTTGATAATCAATATCCATTTGATGATGTGTAGCTGCTGCTGGTACCACCGTAACAATCGTCGTTGTATTATTCGGTAATGATCCAATCGGTCCATTCATAGCTATTAATCGTCCAGTATTATTAATAGAAGAAGCCGTTTGTGAAATATTATTATTCATTTTATTCACAATCGTTGTCGAATCAATCGATGATGATAATAATGGTTGATTGATTATCGACAATGTTGGCGGCGGTGGTGGTGGTGGTAATAATAATTGTTGTTGTTGTTGCTGCTGTTGTTGTTGTTGGGAATTAGTAGTTCCTGCACTATCATCATTACTACCATTATACTGGAAATTATCATCATCATCAACATCCACATCATCCATATCATCAATATCATCGTCTAATCCGACATTATCATCATCGATACAATTTTGGCCATTACCAATACCATTATTCTGCAGTTGTTGCTGATCATCCGATGAATTATTATTTAATTTACGTGTTAATTGAGTTATATTTATATTATTTATCATTGAGCTTTGATTGATTGATTGAACATTGGCTGTTGATGGCTTTCCATCAATCATATTGGATTGTTGTTGCTGTTGATTACAATTATTCATTTCACAACCATCGACATCGATTTCATTAGTATCATTTTGTTTGTCAGGATGTTGTGGACAACATTTATGATGTTGATACATGGTGAATTGATGATGAATTTCAGCTGGATGATGATTCTGTTGTTGATTTGTGGCCACAACGAGAGCAGATTGTGATGGTCGTGTATTATGATTCATATTTGACCAAAAGGTTTTCGAATCACCACCATCATTGTTATTAGCTAATCGGCGACGTAATAATTGATTCTGATGATAGTTAGAATATGATGATTGTGTTTTCATCAAATTCATCGATGATTTATTTCGATGATGATGATGATGATAGGATGTCGTTTGCTGCTGCTGTTGATATATGTCGTTTGGACCACATGTACCATCACCTATATCTGGTACATATGGATCTAAATGATATTGATACGAAGATTGAGGTCTATTTTGATGATGATGATGCTGATGATCCATGATACCACCAGATGATGTGGTGGCTAATGTACATTTTGAACATTTCCTCCTTAATGTAGGTCTTTGTTGTTGTGTATCATTACAACTGATTGCCATTCGTAACTCATTTGTCATTTCAGTACAAAGTGATTGCTGTGAATCAATCAATCAGTCAATCAGTCAAATTTTCAATCATCATATAAATTTAGCCACTTACTCGAAGATTTTGAGCATTCTTTTTTGAATGAACACAAAATTCAATCAACGCGGTGACAATAGCAACGGCTAAACCACCCAATAATACGACAAATACGCCACCTATATTCTCGATACCCAATGCATTGGCTTTACCTTCTTTACTTTTATCATCACGTGAACATTTGATACCGGGACGTTTCCACCAACGATCATATAACATACGAATGATACCTTTCTCTTGTAGATGCAGAATAGCCAAAGATATTTTATCACGCCATGGTGAACCTTGAATTCAGAATTGTCAGGATTTAAATCATTGAAAAAAAAAAATAATAAATAAATAGCCACTTACCTATTGGTGTTGCAATACCATAACCTTTTGAATCAAGCAGACCACCAATTTGCGTTAGATTACAATTGCGTTGTACCATATAATCCAACATTGTTGATTCCATCAAGAAGGCATAATTGCCTTCCAATACACGTTGTACACCTTCATCATATGTTTTAACAAAAACCATTGGACGATTTTCCATAAAACGCCACATTTTTTGATAAGTTTCAATTTGTGAATCACGAAAAAATGTCATTGTTGATCCAGATTCCAGTGTACCATATTGGATACGTGATTGAGCAGCTAAATCTTCAACACTTTGTATCGGTGTGATCATACGTTCGACCGTTAAGAATGCAGCAAGATTGGCAGTATAAGAACTAACCAGAATTAATGTAAAAAACCACCATATGGCACCAATAATACGAGTACTAGCAGCTTTTGGATTCAAATCACATCCTTGGTGCATCAATGTTACAATGGTGAACCAAAATGAATTGGCCATTGAAAATTGATTCTCAAGTTTATTATTATCATTATCCTCATCATTGCCATTGGCGCCATAATGTTGTGGATCCATTGCAGCAACACATGGATGTGATAATCGCCATTCATTTGGACTAAAACGTGCAACAACAAACATTGTCAATGAAACCAAAATATATGCCGCCAATACATAAAGCCATATATCAATATCTAATGGCGACATGAATGAAAATAATCTTGTTGGCATTGTTGATGGTAATTTGAACAGGATTCCAATGCCTAGATTCATATAGGGTTTTGTAAAATGTATAACACTTTCACGTGCATAATTTATTGTCATTGATGCAACGGCTAGGTCAGCATTCTAACAAATCAAAAATAAATAAACCAAATGATCGGTTATTGTACAGTTGAAAAACCATTGAAATTCAATTACCTTATCAATGATTTCACGAACCAAGCCATTCCATTCACCGGTAGTTGTATTCTCGGCACCATATTTACCATCCGGTACTAGATATAATTCATATTGAAAATTCAACATTTCAGCAATCGCTTTGAGAAGATCAATACAGAAGCCTTCAAAATGATCATTTGAATTATTCGTGGCAATTTGATTGTTTAGATTTTTCTTATAAAAAACATATGGTGTTGATTCAATGGTCGTCACTCGCAACGTAATGTTGGTTGTACCGAAATCCTGGAAAGCAGCATGATCGGTAATGTTGAGGCCAGCTACTGTAGACCATTCACCAACCTGTTTCATGCAAACAAACAAAAAACCCAACATATTACATTTATAAATTATAAATCCAAAATCACTTTCTCTCATTTTTCGAATCAATGATCACAAATCACAAATTAAAAGATGCAAAAGTTAATCAACTACCATTATTATTTAATCCAAATAGTGTATCTATGTGTGTGTGTTTGTTTAGAAACAAATGTCTCAGGAATTCGATCGAAATTGTTCATCGATTTTTTCTTGCATCTCTAATTAATTAATTCATTCTCTTATAAACAAAGGAGAAAAAACTTACTTTAGTTAAATTGCTTTGTCTTAATTTGAGCAGATCTAATTTCAATGAACTTCTGCGACCTTCTTTGAATGTAATCGGTCCGGAAAGGCCACGAATGTCAACCTAAACAGCAAAAGCAAAAATTGTGTTGAAATGTAATCAATTTGATTTGATTTGGTCATGAAAACCAATAGTAATAGTAATGTAATGTATTTTCAATCATCAATCGTTTAATTACCGAATTAATATAATTGAATAAAGTACTACCATCTGGCCATGGAGATTCTTCATCACATGATAGATTCGCTTGTCGTAGGATGGCGCCACGTTCCAGTGAATGTAAACCACGAGCAAACGTATAAACAGAATCAAATATTAATGCCGGTTCGTACTATTTATTGGTTTGTCGGTTGATAATGGATAGATAATAGATAGTTGTAGATAAAATGTAATAATTCATATGGAGGATAGAGATAAATATTTCATACCTGTATCACATTTGTACGATTCAATATTGGATGTCTTTTTGGTTGAAATTTCTCCATATCACGTAACACGGTTTTGACGGAAAAATTTTCCGAATCAACCATACGGAATGCGGTCAAATTGACGAAATTGTAACGGAAATTTTCCAGATCATAAATTTCAATGTCAAACGTTACAAAATGATAATGATATTTATAGTTATTCATTTGTGTTTGTAAAATCTATTTGCAAATCAAAAATTGAATCAATCATCACTTGTTTTGTTCATTATTTTTCTAATGAAACCATTAAAACTTACAGCATGTAAAATTTTTGGCAGACTTTCTGGACGCGTATCAATGATCAATGAGTAAACGCCACGTGTTCGTACATCGAGTAATACATCACGAAATGACAGGGCATTTCCTTTGCGAAATATAAACTGTATCTGTTTACTTAATGGTGGCTTCACTAATTGCTGTAATTTAATCAATGCTACAGATTCCATAGATTTAAATAAAGTAAAACAAAAATTTATTCATCAAAACAACCACTACATACATACACATACACTTACATATATCATCTTCATAGATTACAGCAATTTTCGTCCAATTTAGATAGACAATCAAATCTCTTAATGCTTTGCCAATAATCATTGGTGATGGATATAGATTGATACTGAATTCTTTCAATTCGGTCTCCAAATCTAAACGTGCTTCTATATGTGGCATGTCTAATGCATCACACAATGATTGTATATGTGCACCAAGTATTGGATCTTGTGGTCCAAATATTGCACTAACACCGCGATTCATTTGTAAACATGCTATTTGTGTTTTTTTTTCAAAGACAAAAATATCAAAATTTATCATTTGAAAAAATTCAAAAAGCCAAACCAAACCTTTTTTCGATGCATGAAATGAATCTTCTCGTGGTACATATTGAATATCATATGTCAATGTTGTATTCTCCAATAATGTTCGATCTTTATTTATACGAAATATGGCATATTTAAAGGCTAATTCACTTGGCCCGTCACGTTCTTCTTCGGTAAATAAGGCCGCTAATTTTTTTTTTGTTTAATGTTGGAAAAAACAAAAACAAGAAAAAATGAGAAAATTTTTTCAATTTTTCTGGCAAATTTGGCAAATAAAAAAAAATTATTAAAGGTCAATTTTTTGTCATGTCGTCATCGGCATCATCATCATCATCAAAACACAAAATTTTTCTCGAGAAAAATGAATCATGTACAGAGAACAAAATAAAATGAGAGATAGAGATAGAGATTAATTCGATTTTTTTCTGTCATCATTGTTTGTGACAAAAAAATGAACCAAGAAAACGGCACAAAAAACCTTCATGGCCCATCGTACAGACACACAAGAATTTTGTTCTTTGATTTCAAATTTGATTAGCTTTTGTGATATATCATAATTGTGCCACAGTGTCTTAAATCCATAAATCACAGTTTTTTCTGCTTGCCCCCATTGTGAATTACTTAGCGACAATGATTATAACAGTGTGTCATCACCATTGTTGGAAACAAAGCAAAAAAAACACCAACGATTGAATTTCTTGAATTTAGAAACAAAAGAGAGACTCTTATTATATGCGTTAATGCTAAAGTTCAATTCATCTCCAGAATAAAACAAATTATATCTGATTATCTGCCATCCAAATCAACATCCATACTACATTTCTTGTTTTGAATTACAAGTCTAGCTTGTGTTTTTTTTCTGGATCAATCATCAACATTTTAGCAGAACCAACCATTTCATTTGGATTTTTATCGAAAAAAACAATAATAAAATATGGACCAGAAAACAATGCACAAGACGTATTTTTCAACATTCATCCATGATAGGTGACATTTATTTTTTTCAATTTTTTTTTTTAAAACAAATTCTGTAATGATAATTTTTTCACAATTTTAGTCTCAATGATGATGTTCTCTTTTAGTTTTTTTTTTTTTTTTTTTTTTTTGACTTTCGTCTTAACTATATTCCATTGTCATCATCATCATTGAATTTATTTTCTTTTGAAAATTTTTCTCTTAACAAATGTCATGCTAGAATTACGATTACGACAATAATACATACACTATGTGCTATGATAGAAAACAACAACAAGACAAAAAAGACAAAAGGCAAACGACGACTATATCTCTTAACGAGAACAAACGATCATCATCATACATTGTATAATATAAAAGAGAATTAAGATCAAACACACACACACACACACACACACACAAACATTGATGGCCAGAATTAGAACCGAACAAAAAAGAATTGAAAGAATGAGTGAATGAAAACGAAGAAAAACTGAAATAAATTAAATTAAATTAGGCGCTTCTGTTGTTGTTGTTGTTGTTTTTGTCGTACTGGTTTTTGAGCTGAATGTTTTTATTTTATTTTATTTTTTTGTATCATATTCGTGGTTTTGAAAATGGTTCATTCTCATCATCATCATTGCCAATCGCAGTTCTCTTTTCACATTTCATTTGTTCATCATCATCGTCGTCATTGTTATTTCCTTTTCCGTTTTTGTCATAACAAACTTGTCTGTTTAATTCAAGATTCTTGCTTGACAATGATGATGACGATGATGTCGATGCTGATGATGATGATGATGATGACAACATTTTGGTACAACAACAACAAAATAATTCTGATGATGATTGTTGTTGTTGATGTCTATCAGTTTGCTCAATAAAATCATTGTGTTCCAAAATTAAACCTGGCTCCCATCCTACCCTCAATGACTTAATGATCTACTCAATACTATTACTCTTTTGGATAAAGTTTTTTCATCGGATAGTGTATCGTTTTTATTTAGTTTTGCAACCTTTTTTCTGTTGTTGCCGTTTTTGTTGTTGTTCATTTTTTTCCATTTCATTTTATTGTTGTTTGCCATTGAAGATTCGTAGAAGATTCTAGTGTGTATTCATTCACACTTTCTTCACAATGTTCAAACGATCATAGTGGATCATCGTCTTTGTTATTTTTTTATGTTTAAAAATTTTCTTTTTTGCTACTTTAGATGATGTTTGTATGTGTGTGTGTGTGTAATGGTCTGAAAAAAATGAATTTTTTTAGTAGAAAAAAAATTCTGAGTGTTAAAAAGATTCAGCGAAAAGAATGAATTAATCTCTTTCAGTATTCATCAGTAGTAGTAGGTAGTTATTGGTATTTTGAAACACACTTGAACACATGCACAAACACACATAAATCTACTACTTGAATCAAGTGGTTCTACTTATTAGTAACAACAAGTGTATTTCTCTCTTTGTATGTATACTGTAATTGATTCTGTTTTTCATTCATTTATTTATTCAAATGAGAATCCGGTATCCAAGAGAGAGAGAAAAAAAAGTCAAATATTGCAATAAGAACATCATCATCAACAACAACTAAAGTGAAAATAGCCGGATTAATTTCAAGATTTTTTTTTGTTCTGTTTCTATCGAAACGAAATGAGACGAAATTCAAACCAATCAATTTATCATCATCATCATCCAAATCAGAATCGGCAAACAAACAAACAGAAAATAATGATACAATTTCTAATTTAAATATTCATGCACACACACACAAATGCAACAAACACACTTATTATTTTTCTCATTTCTCATTTGCAGGGCATCCAATATCGCTATTCATTCATTTATTCATTTTGATTTGATTCGATATGATTCAATGATAATGATCAATAATAACGATAATAATCAGAATCAGAAAACAAAATAAATGAATTCACAACGATGATGATGACAATGAATAATCGAGAGAAAATAAAATGAAAAAAAACGAAATATATTGAACATTGAACATTCATTATATTTTGATATCCACAAAATATAGAAACGAATGAAAATGAATCATGCCAAATGAACCATGTAATAATGATGATGATGATGATGATGATAATACTAATAAATCACACATACCAATGAAAATGAAAATGAATCTGATTCACGAATACGGATTATATGTTTTTTCTCTGTTTTTTTGGTTGGTTGGTTGGTTGGTATATTAGATGGTACCTATTCATTTATTTATTCATTTTTTCGCTTCAAATTTCATTCATTTCATACTGGATCAATCGCGATGTTGATGATCATGTTTTTTTCCGAAAAAAACCAATGATAATGAGAATGTATTGCATACGCAATGTCCGGAAAAAACGAAGAAGCATCCCTAAATGATTAAAATTTTCCTTGGTGATTCTTTGGGCGTCATCATCATTATTATTTGTTTGTTCATTTCATCATTTCTGTTTTTTTTTGCATTGAAGTCTTGTGATTTGTTTTGGCAAATATGACAATTATTTATCTAGTTGTAATTGTTTTTTCTTTTCACAAATTCGTATTTGATAGTATTGTGAAGATTTAATTGTCTAAATTATAATTCCCAAGATGGTAATTGCCAATATAGCTTTGAAACAATAAGCTTCACGATGTCTAAAATCATAAAATAGCTTTTGAAAATAAGATCGCTGTCATAAATGAAAATAATTGCAATTTTTCCTCATCAATTTATGATTTCAATGTTCGAGCAATGTCCGGTATTCGTATCATTGGTTTGAAACCATTTCTTTTTTGTTTCTGTGTACAAATCTCATAATAGATTATTAGACTTTTACTTGATGACCATCAATATTTATCTATTTGATTTCATCTCAAATATCATGAATATTTCATTACTTCACATTTACACTCATACCCCGCTTAACGCTGCCCCGTTTAGCGCTGATTCGATATAACGCTGTATAATTACCCTACATTGCATTACATTGTTACATTGTATATGAAGGGTAAAAATGCATTATGTAAAGATAGCCCCGCTTAGCGCTGTTTCGCTTAACGCTCAGAATTTTTGGAACGTAACCCCCGCGTTAAGCGGGGTATTACTGTATTTATCATTATCACTGTACATTTATGATGATGATGGTAATGATCATTTTTGTGTAACTCTAAACTTAAACTTGAAATCATAATCATAATCACCATCATCAACAAAACGAAATCATTTTTTCTTTGCGTTACCGTTGCAAAAATCCAAGTCTAAGTGTAATTTAGGTTGGTAGACATTGTTGGTGATTTTTTTTCATTCTTGGGTTCTTTATTTTTACTTATTGCAGTATCTGATATCGGTATCAATTTAGATTTGATTTTTTTCATCGATAGTTACACACATATGGTGAGTATGTTACAAATATGTTAATTGTTATCACATGATGATTACATGTTGATGGAAGATTAATAGCATTAAATTTTCTAAAACAAAAAAAAACACGAATTCTCCAAGAAAAGATGTGTGTATGGGTTAATGGAAATTATTTGTTTTTGCTTTTTTTCCAACGAAAAAAAGTTTCACTTTTGGTCCATTATCAACATTAGATTGATAGTTGTTTAATTAATGCAACCGTTTTGTTTTGCTACTGATATTTTCATTGGCAACAATAATGATGATGATGAAAAATGAGTCGTTTTTTTGCATCGCATAACCTTTTAAACAATCGTTTTTGGATATTTTTTTGTGATTTGATTTTGAAAATGAAATTCCGGGTTATTGTTGATCGGATGCTTATCCTCTGTTGTCATCAGATTCTTGTATTCTTTGTTTTTATCTTATGACGTTTTTTTGGTCTTTCGACTTTTTTTTACCATAAAAATCAGTTTGTCACATTTTCCTTTGTTTTTCTGGTTTTGTTTTCGATCATTCATTCGTAAACGACGTTTTGGCGAAAATGATGACGACAACGTTTAAACCTCAATGAATTTCGATAGTGAAAAACATTGTAAACAGATTAGATGACCAATAATCTTAATGGTATGGTATTAATAATAATTGATCTAAATAACATTGTTCAATGTTGTCTTGAAAGACTTGCTTGTCTACAAAGAACAACAACAACAACAACAAGAAGTTTGAAAAATCATGTTCCATAATATAAAGTTCAATAATAAAGTAAAATAAACATATAAAAGACATTAATGAATGAATGAATGAGTGAATGGATAAATAAAATAAAATGAAAAAATATTGATCAAGTTTTCAT